GGCCCAGCGCGGATCCGTGAGACGTTTCGCTCCCCTTCGGTGGCCACGGGCGCTGCTGAACGTCTGAGCCAGTAACTTCTGTGTAATAAAGCCACCACGGTAAAAACCACAACTGTCTAGTGGGCGAGAATCATAGAATCATCGAATCATCGAATCATCGAATCATCGAATCATCGAATCATCGAGCGTTCCTGGGATCGGGATGAAGTTCTGCCGCGGTGAAAAAACGCGGTAACCTTTAGCAGAGCCCCCAAACCCACCCCTGCCCCCTTTCCTGGCATCAGTTCCTGCCTGGACAAATGCACTGCCCCTTCTCTCTGGCGTGACCCTGTCCAGAATACCCTTCTGCTGCATCCGCACCATCCCCAACACCTGTTTTGGTGCCGGTTAGGAGCTGTTTTCCTTCCAGACACTGGGAAGGATCCTTTTTTGTGTGTGTTTCATGGAGCATATGCACCCCTGTCCCCTCCCAGGGCTGGGCCGCTCCGCCAGCATCTGTGTTTCTCCTCGTGTTTGCTTCCAGCCGGGGTCTCTCCACCCCTCGCAACCCTTCTCCTCAGCCTTCCCCTTGGCTCCCGGCTCCCTCTCATGCGGCATTTTCTGTGGGGAGCTGGTTCCACTATTGTATGTTAAACCTTTTCTCGTTCCTCAGCTTTGCCCACACACAACTGCCTGTTCTCTCACCAGGCCTTTGGGTTATACGTTTTTGGTGCCAAATTGCTCTATTACTCTACAAATCTTAGCGTACAGCACAGCTCTGAGTAATACTGTGGCAATGTATAAATAGCAAAGCGACGGTGTTTGGCTGAACGCCTTGTCCCCGAACTTCCCGACTCACCTGGTGACGCTCACCTGGGGGTGAGGGAACGGCCCCGTCCCGTCATTACCGGCGCGTTCCCGGCCCTGTGACAGACCAGTGGGTTTGGTGGGTGAGGTCGGAAACCCTTCTGGAAGCCCCAGAGCGATCCTGTCCACGGTTCCTGCCCCCCGCCCGCAGCCCTCTGGCAAAAATACAGCGCAACTGACTTACAGCCCCTCAGTTCGTTTCCGTGCCCGACGCTT